AATCCCTACCCTAGAACCCAAGCTCCTCGCCCAAATGCTCACAGTTATCAACAAGTTCCTCCCATTCAACAGAGCGGGTATGATCCTTCTCGCCCCAGGTTTGAGAATGATCCCTCCAGAAACTTTACCGCGCTGGCTGAAAGCAGGACCAAGTTGTTTGAAAGATTATCCGCGGCCGGATACATCCACCCTGTGGGTCCTTAGCCCATGGATGTCAACTCTAGATTCTACAAACTGGAGCAGAGATGTGCTTAACATTCCAACAGTGTTGGACATGACACTGATGACTGTATCAATCTTAATCACAAGATCTAGGATTTGATCGACCAGGAAGTGGTCTCCTTCCAACCTGCGGTGCCAAACGTCAATACCAATCCGTTGCCGAATCATGGGGGTGGAAACATCAACATGATAGAAACAGACCAAGATGAGTGTGAAACCAAGAAGATTACTCCTGTTGCCCAGGAAGACTTGGAAAAGGCTGTCGCTTCTTTAAGCGTCAGGGAAAAAGGAGAGTTCGTTATTCTGACACTTGCGAAGGTTGTTGCCTTGGTGCCCTCGAAGACTCTTGCCAAACCCAAGTTTGTCATAGAAACGGTCGTGGCCCAAGGCATGACTAGATCTGGAAGATGCTACACTCCTGATGAGCTTGCTCTCGGAGGACAAAAGAAAGATCATGCTAAGAGACCAATAAGTGAAGCAGAAACCGAGGAGTTCTGGAGGAGAATGTAGCCTAAAGATTACTCCATTGTCAAACACTTGGAGAAGACTCCGGCCCAGATTTCTGTGTGGGCCCTACTGATGAGCTCCTGGTCCCACAGACAGGATTTGATGAAAGCTATGGATGACACGTATGTGCTCTCAGGTACGAGCAGCGATAACGTAGCTTCCATGATTCACCAAGTCATTCGGGGACACCGCATCAGTTTTTGCGATGATGAATTGCCGGCCGATGGGAGATTCCATAACAAAGCTCTACACATCACTGTGATATGCCACGGAAAGGTCGTCAATCGTGTTTTGGTGGATGATGGATCTGGTTTAAACATATGCCCCTTGTCAATATTGAAACAGCTGAGGTTTGGCCTCGGAAAATTGGAGCCAAACCAAGTAAATGTAAGAGCGTTTGATGGTGTGCAAAGAGATACATTGGGGGCGGTGGACTTGACCCTCCAAATGGGACCCGCAGAGTTCAACGCAAAGTTCCAAGTGTTAGATATTGACACCAGCTATAATCTTCTTCTGAGGAGGCCGTTCATTCACATGGCTGGAGCTGTCCCCTCCACTCTTCACCAAATGATGAAACTGGTATGGAGAAATGAGGAGCTAGTTATTCACGGTGAAAGAAACCACTCAGGCAAGGTTTGGATTTTTACACGGTGGAGTTGGTAAATGCCACCGATGAGGATTTGGTCCTGCAGACTCCCATACTGGCCGTGTACAGAATGATCGCCACGGTAATGCTGCAGAACGGGTTCGAACCGAGTTTTGGATTGGGAAGAAATGCCCAAGGGATCATTGAGCCAGTTCCAGTCCTTGCTAAAGGATCCAAATATGCTTTGGGGTACATCCCCACAGATGACGATGTGAAGACGAAGAAGAAAAAGGATCAAGAGTTGGCAAAACCGATCCCGCATCTATATCAATCCTTTCCAATTCGAGAGCATGCCGAGTCTGAAGACTGTGGGGAAGGAATCTGCGACCTTTTCAAGGAGATCAATGCTATCACCGAGGAGGAGGTCGAGCCAACTGGCATTCATGATGCTGAACCAGGGGAGATGCTCCAGAATTGGAATTCACGCCAATCCTGATGTCCAGAACACTTTGGTAGAAAGGAGTTATTTTATCCATACTGAAATCTGTGGTCATCCGGAAGTGGCCCGAGACCTACCATTTCTGCATTTTTCTTAATTGTTCGAATTTTAAATTTTCATTGTGATGTTTAAAAAGGCGACATGGCCCTATGCCATGACCCAAGTTTGCATTTTTGATTTAAATAAAAGCCTCCTTATTTTGACTCTGTTTATTTAGTTGCTTGTTATACTTCACTTTCCTAATTTTGTCTGTTTATGATTTCAGTAACGTAAGTTACAAACCTGCCAATGTCATGTCATGTCATGAGCTGAATGAGAAAAATGAGACAAATGACGATGAGGTTGACGACTATGAAGAAGGAAATGGGGAACCAGACTATGTTGCAGAAAAATTTCGACAGTTCGAGAATCAGCATAAACCGAATCTGGAGGAGATGGAAACGGTAAATTTGGGAGATTCGGAATGTGTCAAAGAAGTTAAAATCAGCACCTATCTGAATGAAACTCAGAAGGAGAGCCTGGTTCATTTGCTTGTCGAATACAGTGATGTGTTTGTCTGGGAAGTCGGTAATATGCAGGGTTTGAGTACCGATGTCGTGTCTCATAAGCTACCTATAAATCCGGGGTCCGAACCAGTGAAACAAAAGACTCAAAAGTTCAAACCTGAACTGAATTTGAAGATTAAGGAAGAGATCACCAAGCAAATAGAGTCTCGATTGGTGGAAGTAACGCAGTATCCAACCTGGTTGGCCAATGTTGTTCCGGTCGCCAAGAAGGACGGGAAAATCAGGATTTGTGTTGATTATAGAGACCTCAACAAGGCTAGTCCGAAGGATAATTTTTCATTGCCGAATATCTATATTTTGATTGACAACTGTGCCAAACATGAGATGCAGTCATTTGTGGATTGTTACACAGGTTATCACCAAATTTTGATGGATGAAGAAGACGCGGAAAAAACGGCATTCATTATGCCTTGGGGTGTATATCACTACAGGGTGATGCCGTTCGGCATCAAGAGCGCCGGTGCCACTTACATGAGAGCGATGACGACTATTTTTCATGACATGATTCACAAAGAAATTGACGTGTACGAGGACGACGTCATAATCAAATCTCGCGAGAGTTCGGACCATTTGACACACCTGAGAAAATTCTTTGAACGTTTGCGTCGGTACCACTTGAAGCTAAATCCCGCCAAATGCGCTTTTGGAGTCCCAACTAGGAAGTTGTTGGGATTTATAGTCAGCAGAAGAGGTATTGAGCTCGACCCCTCAAAGATCAAAGCAATTTAAGAGTTACGTCCGTCGAAAACGAGAAAAGAGGTGATGAGTTTCTTGGGGAGGTTAAACTATATCAGCAGGTTTATAGCATAATCAACAGTAGTATGTGAGCCCATTTTCAAGTTGCTGAAGAAAGACGCCCCGACTAAGTGGACTGAGGAGTGCCAAACTGCTTTCGACGCTATCAAAAGCTATTTTTCTAACCCACCAGTATTGGTTCCTCCACGAGAAGGGAGTCCTTTGTTGCTGTATTTATCTGTCTCAGATAGTGCCTTTGGATGTGTACTTGGGCAACACGACGAGACAGGAAAGAAAGAACGGGTTATCTACTATATAAGCAAAAAGTTTACTCCGTACGAGTCTCGGTACACTTTGCTGGAGAGAACATGTTGTGCTCTGACGTGGCTCGCCCAGAAGTTGAGACATTATTTGTCTTCGTATACTACATATCTCATTTCCAGAATGGATCCGTTGAAGTACATTTTACAGAAAGCGATGCCGACCGGAAAGTTAGCTAAATGGCAAATGCTGTTGAGTGAGTTTGATATCGTGTATGTGACTCAGAAGGCAATAAAGGCACAAGCCTTGGCTAATCATCTGACAGAAAATCTCGTTGACAAAGAATATGAACCTCTTAAGACATATTTTCACGATGAAGAAGTGTCGTTTGTGGGTGAAGATATTTCTAAAGCGTATCCAGGTTGGAGATTATTCATTGACGGAGCGGAGAATCACCAAGGTAAAGGTGTTGGAGCAGTCTTGGTATCAGAATCTGGTAAGCACTATCCTATGCAGCTAAACTACGATTCAATTGCACAAACAACATAGCTGAATACGAAGCCTGTATTCTTGGTTTGAAAATAGCCATTGACATGAATGTTTACGAGTTACTGGTTATTGGAGATTCAAACCTTTTGATTCATTGACTTCAAGGTGAATGGGCTATGAAGAACTCGAAAATTATACCTTACGTACAGTGTGTGCAAAATATGTGTAAAAGGTTTCGCAAGATCGAGTTCAGACATACTCCCAAAATACAGAATGAATTAGCTGATGCTCTTGGCACCATCGCTTCAATGATCAAACATCCGGATACCGATTACATCGACCCGTTGGATATAGATTTGAAGGAACATCCAGTCCATTATTCACACGTCGAATCAGAACCAGACGGTTTGCCTTGGTATTTTGACATAAAGAGGTACTTGGAGTCTAGGACATATCCAGAAGACGCTACCTATAATCAAAAGAAGTCGATACGTCGTATGACTCTCAATTTATTTCTGAATGGAGAAGTCCTGTATAGGAGGACTCCAGATTTGGGTCTTTTAAGATGCGTGGATGCTGCGGAAGCTGTGAGACTTATTGAACAGACACATGTTGGAGTTTGCGGTACACACATGAATGGACTTACTTTGGCAAGAAAGGTTCTTCGAGCCGGTTATTTTTGGATGACTGTTGCAAATTCGTGAAAAAATGCCACAAATATCAAGTGCACGGCGATCTGATACGGGTGCCACCTCACGAACTTAATGCTATGAGTTCACCTTGGCCATTTGTAGCTTGGGGAATGGATGTCATCGGTCCTATAGAGCCGACCGCTTCTAATGGACACAGGTTCATTTTGGTTGCCATTGATTATTTCACCAAGTGGGTGGAAGCAGCCTCTTACAAGTCGATAACCAATAAAGTGGTGGACGATTTTGTCCGCAACAATCTGATATGCAGATTTGGAGTTCCAGAATCCATCATTACTGATAACGGCACAAATCGCAACAGTCATTTGACGAAGGAGATATGTGAGCAATTTAAGATTGTTCATCGAAGGTCAACTGCTTATCGCCCTCAAATGAACGGAGCTGTAGAGGCCGCCAACAAGAATATCAAAAAGATTTTGAGAAAAATGATCGACAAACAGCGAGGTTGGCATGAAATGTTGCCATATGCTTTGCTAGGTTATCAAACAACGGTCAGAACATCGACTGGGTCTACTCCATACTTGCTAGTATATGGAACAGAAGAAGTCATTCCTGTTGAAGTCGAGATACCGTCGTTGAGGATCATCCAAGAAACTGAATTAAGTAATGCCGAATGGATTAGTAAACGGATTCATCAACTAGCTTTGATTGATGAGAAGAGAATGGTCACCGTTTGCCATGGTCATTTTATAGACAAAGAATGACTCGCGCTTTTCACAAAAGAGTAAGAGCCAGAAATTTTGAAGTTGGTCAGTTGGTTCTTAAGCGCATTTTTCCTCATCAAGACGAATACAAAGGAAAGTTTGCGCCAAACTGGAAGGGTCCTTACATGGTTCGTAAAGTATTATCTGGAGGTGCGTTGGTCCTATCAGAGATGGATGGCGCTGTATGGCCCAAACCTATCAACTCAGATGCTGTCAAGAGATATTATGCGTGAAGTTTCATTTTTGCATTTTTCTATATTTACTTGTAATCGTTCTGTTCGCTTGTATTTATTTTGAATTATTATCCCACTTTGTAACGAACTACGTCTGACATGAATTCTCGAGAACGAGATACGTAGGCGGCCTATGTCGGCTTCAGTCACCTCATTTTTTCCCTTTAATTATTTCTTTGTATCTGAACTATGTTCGACCTGAATTCTCAAGGATGAGATACGTAGGTGGCCTTTGTCGGCCTCGGTTGGTTGTTCTTTAAATTTTATTCTTGTTAACTTTAAGGGGAACTACGTTCGACTTGATTCCTGCCTCAACGGGATACGTAGGCGCCACAAGGGTTCGATCATATCTCTCGTAAGATTTCTATTCCCCTATACAATAGAAACTGGGACAGAATTTTTGAGAGGGACTCAAAAATTCTTCAGAAGAAGCCTTTTCTTCAAGTCAAACTAAAGACGTTTTGAGATTTGCAACTGGGACAGAATTTTTGAGAGGATCTAAAAAATTCCGCGATTTGTTCGGTTACAGTGAAAACATGAGCAAGATAGTAAATGGCCTCAAAATTTTGTTATGGGTTATCCCTACAAGTCCGGAGTGCCTCTGAAATTCATCAGCGAGTGTCAGATTCAAAGGGGCTCATTAAGCCTGATATGACATGACTTGGCAGTGAATTTTTCAAGATACTATTTCTTAAAAATTTCTTGTTTCTCTTAAAATTGCCCTTTTATGTTTCATTTGTTTTGGCATAAGATATTTTTCTTATCTATCAAGAGTTGGGAAATCAGGAATTCAACCGGAGATGTCAAGACAAGGAGCAAACAACAGAAGGAATCGACACAGATCAGTATGTTTTAAAAACTGACAATTATTCTGTGGATGCAGGTTTATAGCTTTGCTTTGAAATCGACCGAATTCTCCTGACGGATGAATACAGAGAGCTCCCAAAGAGGAGAAAATTATTTACAAAACCAATGATTTTACTGAGAGCGGGAGGCTGTTAATCTCGTTTGTGTCAGGATGCTTGGGAGTGTGTTTGTTTATTTCAAGACATTCCCAACAATATGAAATTTACAAAGTGTCTAGCCAGATTCAAAGGTGAATCAAACAGGAATCTCAACGAGGATTTCACGATTTCTATAGAGGACGCTATTTGCATTACGTTATCAAAACCAGATAATTATTGTCAATCAAGACAATGCATTACCCCAGAAGAGATAGTTATTTTATTATTATTTGTTATTATCGATCAAGTAGGTATGTTATTTGGAGGTCGTTTTGCTGTTATTATCAACACAGACGATATAAATATTCATGCATCGCGGAGAATCATGTGTTGCCAAAAATTCATGCATCGCGGAGAATCATGTGTTGCCAAAAAATCATGCATCGCGGAAGTCATATACTGCTGAAAAATCATGCATCGCTGAAATCATGCATCGCGAAAATCATGCATCGCAGAATTCATACACTGAAGAATTATGCATCGCGGAAATCATGCATCGCGAAATTCATACACTGAAGAATCATGCATCAGGGAAGTCATACACTGAAGAATCATGCATCGCGGAAAACCATGCATCACCGAAAGTCATGCATCACGAAAATCATGCATTGCGAGTGAACAATTATGTGCAACGAGAAGGTTTCATGCCTAAGTCAAAATTTATACATTGCGAGAAGATTTCATGCCTCGTCAAAATTTATACATCGCGAGAAGATTTCATACCTCGCTGAAAATTAGACATCGCGAGAAGAACTTATACCTCGCTGGAATTTGTGCATCACGAGAAGGAGCTCGTTGAAAATCATGCATCGCGGAAAAGTCATGCATTGCGAAAAATCATGCATTGCGAGTCAACAATTAGGCACGACGAGAAGATTTCATGCCTCGTCAAAATTTATACATCGCGAGAAGATTTTATGCCACGCTGAAATTTAGACATCGCGAAAAGAATTCATACCTCGTCGAAATTTATGCATCACTAGAAGAATCCATGCCTCGTTGAAATTTTGCACATCGCGAGAAGATTTCATGCCTCGTTGAAAGCTATGCATCGCGTGAAGATTCATACCTCACGGGAATTTACGTATCGCGGGAAGATATTCATGCCCCGCAAGAGGACATACACGGATAAAGAAAGAGCAACACTTATCCATTGGCCTCGATTGCATTCTGTTATTTCTTATAAAAGTAAATATCAAGAAGAGCATCGAAGATAACGACAAAAGAGACATCAATATCACATCAACATTTATTTATTTATTTCGACATCAAGTATAGAGTACATTGAAGATTATATTGCAAAACAGAAGACATAAACTTTATTTGCTAAACGCCAGACCGATCGAGTCGACGTCGATTTGAGGAGAACAATGAAGTGACAGCATGGTATAAAGACACTGTCTCCCATCCTAATTAAATTTTTAAGCTGACGAGTTTTATCTCAGTCTTTGTCGAGAGCATCCGAAAAGATGAATTCTCCAAAAACCACAGGTGCGGACAACATCAAAAAGGATGCAGCACAACATGGAACTTTTTCTTAGCAGCGAATGGGACACAGTCCAAAGAGGATTGTCAAACTCTTAGGACGCGAGCAGAGGAGCGACTTCCACCACAATCAAACCACCCCTCTCGAAGCATGCGGGTTTTTCTTTAGTTCTGTCAGTTTCAGTCTCGCGTCCGGAAATTTTGTTTTATCAGAAGCAAATTTCCAATCTGAGTGACAATACGCCATGAGCTTTGGAAATTATGTCCGTGTAAGTTCTTAATTATGGGTGTGAAGCGCGCCACATTCATGGCTAAGAGGTTTCATGCCTCCTTTTCATACTCGTCAATGTGTCACTTGTCCAAAACCGAAGGTTATCTAGCATTATAGATTTCCTTTTCCACCGATCAAGTCGAACTACACACTGCCTGATTCCGAAGGTTTAAGGATATATAGGCGGATTCAATGTCAAAAACTCGGCTGTATTCCAACATTTGCTCTCGAATTCTATTCTCGAGAATTTCGATACCTTCATAATTCGGTATCGAGGTGGCTTTTGACTCTTTCAAATCATGCGGTAAATCAAACTTATCGAACTACAGGTGGCCTGAATTCTCATATGGCCCGAGATATGTAGGAAACCTATTTCAAGGGTTCGACCATAATTCCTAAACCCTTTCTCAAATCCTTCCTTTAGAAAATGAATGGGTTTGGGCAAAATTGGCTTGGTCAATTTCATTTTCCTCGAATTGTCTGCATCAATCCAAGTAAAATGAGGTACAGTTGTTGACACCCATTTTGATACCCAACCCATTTTCCTTTCAAACCTACTAAACTTAATTCCCTTCAACCCAAATTAATCCCAACATTCCCAGGCCCAATTCTCCCTACTCCCAGGCGGCCCATCTCCTTTACCTACCCATGCCCACTCCTCTACCAAACCCAATTAATTCCCTTCAACCTAACTCAATTAATTCCTAGGCCCACCCATTCTCGTCCGACCCGTCCAACCCATCCTTTCCCCCCTTTCTTCCTCCCCCTTCCACCCACGCGACCCCATTCCCAGAAAAACAGACGCGACCCCATTCCCAGAGAAACTCACGTGACCCCCCCCTTTTCTTCCCTTCTTCCTCATCCAAATATCCAGGACGAAGAGGCGATTCCCAGCAGAAGCACCCGCGTCTCCCCCACGCTCTCTCACTTCTCTCTCTCTCTCTCTCCTCTCCCCGCGTCTCCTCAAGGTTTCATTCCTCTCTCCTTTGCCAGTACGCCTCGTAGCAGAGCAGGCTGGATTTTACATCTTTGCCAGATGCGTTTCCGTCCTTTCAACACGAGATGGCTCCACGTCGACCCACCAGTACTACGATTCGATCTCGTCCCTCCACCTCGACCTCAATCCGTTGGAGATTTTGGCATCTAATCGGCATATTCTCAGTTTGGATAGGATTTGGGTTTTTGAAATTCAAATTTGGTATGGGCCTGAAATTCAATCCTTCAGCCCTTTCCCTAGTGAAAAAATCCTACCATTCTTCTATAAATAGTTCTTTCTCTTCACTAGTCAGGGGTTGGAAATTTTTAGTTGAGATTTCGTTGTAAGGGTTTGCTAGAGTAAATTTCTTTCAGTTTATCATTGAAATATAAAGAAATTTGAGAAAACATCGCAAATACTTTGAAAATGACTGATAGACGGAAGACTTGCTAGTGTCTTGTGTTTGAGTCTAAGTTCTCGACTAGACTTCGTTTCTTCGCCAGGGGTTCGAGTCTTCATAAGGTGGTGAAGTAATTAGCTCCTTGCTGTTCCAGTTTGCTGCTTCCGAAGAGGTAATCCCCTTCTTCGTATAACTTTCTTGTTTCTTTCGTTCTGAGATGGCTTCTTCTGAAGTTTGGTAATCTGTTTCTGTGATTTGTTTAATTTTCTCGTCGCTTTCTATCTTTAAGTTTCATTCATGTAAAAAAAATATTTGATTGCATCACCGTGGTCAGTATGTGGTTTGCTTAAAATATCGAGTAGGGGGTTTGTATTGTTGTGAATATGAAGTATTATACCTCGTTTGGCTGTGCTTGAATCTGGAATGTAGCATGACGATTTTCTTTTATTTTTCGTTTAGTGTCAATCAGCTTCGTTCTATCAGTGAGTGCATCTGTATGTTTCTTTAGCGAGTATGAAATCCCATGTCGTCTTTTCTTCTTCTTCTTCTCGTATGTTTCAACTCTGTTAGGTTCTATTTGGGAACTGATCGCATACAGTCATTTGCTTTGATTGTTGTTGTGTTTAGCGTTGAGTATGTAAGTTTGAATTGGATTCTTGTATCATTTGTTAGATAGTCTTCATGTATTCATCTTGAAGGTGTTGTTGGAGTTTAGCGGCAAGTTATGCCATTTCATATCTAAGAGTTGTGAAATAAAGGTTCCTAAGTTTTGAAAACCGCTGTTATTTAACATGAAGTTCGAGTATATGGCTGCCTTACTCCATGTCTTTTTTTTCTTGTCTACATTTCTTTTCAAAGAAAAAA